ATAAATATATATAAAACAATGAGTCAATTATAAAGTATATTTCTACTGGTTAGAATTGAAATTAAATTTTGGTATAAATTTATAAATAACTTTTAGCATAGTATATTCTGTTTAAATATTTCTACGCTATTATTTCTTTAATTTTTTAAAATTAGATATAGTGATTATTTGGTTAAATTTTACCTTGAGTTAGAGTCAAAAACGTATGTTTTATTTTAAAAATTCAAACCACAAACACAAATCTAACTATTTATTTAAATTTTTGCCTGAGAATTTCTGGATAATACTTTCTTATTTACAGATGAGGTATGCTCGCCACTTCTTGGTTAAAAATCAATCATAAGAAATATCGATTTCGAGTTCGAGAATCGTTGGAAGTGAATTGCGTATTCCGCCGTTGGCGCTGTAATCTTTAATTTATTTAAACCCAAACGCGCGCATTTCACACGAAATATTAACTTGGAATAAAAAAATAAAAAATGAAAAATAGACTCTAGTCTAAATCAAATACACAAAATTTATGAGAAATTCTTTAAAAAGAACAAAAATATTCATACACTAGATTAAAAAGAAATGTTAATGTTTTAAACTGTTACAATTTTCTGAAAAAAAATTGTGGAACAATTAACTTGTAAATAGCAAAAAAATACTAATGAAGAAAAACAAACGAATTCTTTAATATTTAAAGTAATTTAAGCCACAATATAAATTATATCTTATTTTGAATTCATGTTACATTCAAACAAGTAACACCAGAAATTTACATTTATAATAAAGCATATGAACTGCAACATATGAATTATACATAAAAATTATTATTAAAGTTAAAAATATAAATATAATTACTGCTATATTTGTGAATATTATTATTAACGAATACTTTCAGTAAATGAAATTATTAACAACTTGTAACAATAACATATATTTTATTTCAACGTTTTGCAACTCATAATTTGCCGTAAGATGGCAGCGCATGGAATCTATTTGAGGTTATGCTATCGTTATTCTATGTTGAGAAATATATTCGTAGGCGGACGTAGAATATATCTATATCTCGATATAAGATGGCCGATTTTTGAGTTTCGTTTACGTCCTGGTTTCGTGCATTTGAACGCGTTAGTGAGCAAATGTTGTGTAAACTGGTTGATTTCACAAACCGACAATCCCGGTGGTGCTTCATGAAAGTCACCAAAAAGTATACAAACGCGCTATGTTATTATCCGATATTAATCAAAATTGATCACACGCATTTAATCAAGGGTTTCAGTACTTTTTTTCAAACTACTCTTGATAGAGGAAGACTAGCATTTTAATAATATTTCAGTAAGTGTCTTACGAATATTATTAATTCGCTAATTAAAATATGTTATGCAATTCTGATGATTTCATTCATCACTGAATCTATTCTAACCCTACCTTTTTTTTTCTGTTTTTGTCCACATGCAGATACAATGGTCGAGAGAGCTAAACACTGTGTCCTGCAATGGGCTGATCATGCAAGATATATTTCAGAGAAATTTAGTAGACTATTGGCACATCAGGCACTTGTTGATGTAACACTTGTATGTGAAGAACAAAAGCTATGTGTTCACAAATTGGTCTTAGCATCAAATAGTACGTACTTTAAGGTATGTTTAAACGATATAGTCAAATTTCTACCAATGAAATTTATTAGAAATTATCATACATGAAATTATCCTCAATATATATATATTTTTTTTTTTTTGGTTACATTAATAATATTTTTAAAAAATATTAGCAATATAACTTATGTTTCTTTCTTTACTTTTAAGATTATCTGTTTCAAAATTAACAAATACATATAAAAAAAATTGATTTTCTCAAAAATTTGGTTTTTAATTTGGTTTGTTAATTTATTAAAAAATTTAATAATGCTAACTTTATATTTTAGTTAAAAATAATCATTAATTTAACAATATCAACAATATTAGTTTTAACTTCTTATATATTAGTATTTTCTTGTATTTTATTATTTCTACAAACTTGTGCATTTTAAAATATTACAACTTTCAATGCATTTTAAAAATAACTGACTAGCATATAGTTAGCAAATGTCTTATGTAATCATAAATTACAGAAATATCTAATAACAGATTTTTAAGAAATCTAAATTAGTGAACTAGTTTGAAAATATAAAAGAAATCCAGTATCATATTTAAAATGAATTTGTATCGTTTAATAAAAGACATTTTGAATTCTGTAAAATAATAAAATATTAATTCAAACATATAATTGTAATTCATATTTAGTTTTTTATTATTACATGTAAAACCATTTATTTACATTAATATTTAGACATTCTTTTCATTGAATATTTATTTAAGGTTTGAATTTATTGTATGAATAAATATATTTTTAGTTTATGAAATTTTATGAAATTAGGTTTTTTATCTTAATAATTTATTACTAATTGCTATTATAAAATAAACTTATAAGGAACACATATAATAGTGAAAATAGTTTAGTACCTCAGTACTATTACGATCATAAATATGTATACAATGTTTTATGTGTCATATAGTTGTAATATATAATAGTATGGCTTGATTAAAATTTTATTCAACTATTGCTATATGTATTATATATAGCATATAAAATCGTGTGTGTGTGTGTGTGTGCGCGTGCGTGTGTGTGTGTGTGTAGAGTATGTAAGATATATGAAATGCTTATAAGAGGACAATTTTCCAGGGATTATGTAATGTTCATATAAAGTAAAGAAAGCCTTATATATTGGAATTTCCTTATTTGTTTGCAAGCATTTGAAGAAACCATGTTTGATGGACATACTTTTTACAACTTATGAAGAACATCTATTGAATATAAAGGTAGTTAATTTGAATTCAAAATAATCAAATAAATATATGCTGATATAAATAGCTTTTTATGATACGTGTCATTCTATTAGTAGATATAAATAAGACTAAATATATTTTAAAATGTGCATGTGTAAATTTATACAGATAACACTTAGGTAACATTAGAATTTGAAATTTTAGACACTAAAATCTTTTACTTGAAAATAATATTAGGGTTGATAAAATTAAAAAAAAATTAACAAAAAATATTATTTAACACTATTAAAAATGTTCTTTGCATATAATATCAAATTTTGTACTATGCAATAAATGTATAAATTAAAAAAATTCATTTAAAAATAGTAATAAGTTTACAAACAAATCATTTTATTCATTTTTATCATAATTCATAGATATAGTACACTTTTATCTATTAATATATTTTATTAGCTTTACTTCATGATGTAATAGGAGATTCTACAACAAGATTTGGGTCAGGAACCAGTTATATTTTTGAGAGATTTAAACTTTGAAATCTTAAAGGCCATGGTTGAATTCATGTATTGCGGAGAAACTACAATTCCTTATCAATTATTATCACCTTTGTTAACTGCCACCAAAACTTTTAAGGTTAGTATTACAATTAATATTGGTAATTACAAGTTACTGTATTCCAAATAAAATTGTATGAATATTAAAAATTTGAGAATAATTATATTTTTGTAATGTATGCAAAAAATTTATATTAAATTTTAATATTGTTTTGTTCTATTTTTCATCTTACTGTTAGTAACAAAATTATCTTAATTTTTTTTTATATTATTAGTAGTAGGTAAGGATAAGTAGTATAATTGATTCCCTAAAAATTACTATAAATTTAATATTATTTTTAAAGTTTGATTCTTTTATATATATACAAAATAAGTATAAAAGATTTTTTAAAAATTTAAAAATTATGTGTAATAATGCATGTAATTTCACTGTTATTTATATATCAGTTTGACATTGATGAGAATAAAAACAAAAATAAAAATAATAAGAATGATAACAGTCTGTCAACTTAAGTAAGTAGGTTAAACATAGGAAGTTTTATAATACAAATATCAATTGTTTACAAAAAATGTATATTAAAATTAAATGTTTTATGTATTATTATTATTGAATTATTAGATGTTTCTCATAATTTTTTGAAAAATTTTAAAGAATTAATTATAATATTAATCTGTAAGATATAAAAATCCATTGCTATTACTATAAATTAGAAAAAATGTACGTATATATAAATATGCTAACAATTTTTTGTACATATATAGGTTAAAGAGTTGACAACTGTAGTTGATACTATGATGAATTCCAATGTAGGAAGATTTGAAATTAACACCAATATGGACAAGGAAGTTACTAAATCAGAGATTATAAGCGATACATGTAATAACATAGATTATATAGATGTAAAGTGTAATGAACTTGTTAATGATGAGTGCTTTGTACTTTGTAATAAGAGCAACAGTGATGTGAATTCAAGTGAAAATCAATTTTTAGAAGGTAATGCAACCAGTGATCCTCCTAAACAAGAATTAGAACATATGTTATATGAAGAGTCACAAGATTTTGAAATTAATGCAGAACAAACTAATACATTATTTTCAGTAGGAAATTCTACAAAATTGGTAGGAAATGAGAATTCAATCGTATTAACAAATGGTAAAACAAAAGAAGTATCAAATAGATACTCAAAAAATAGAATGATAAATAGTGATACATTGTGTACAAATACTGAATTAAAACCTATATTATATGAACAATGCTGTGATTTTTCAGATATTGATGAGTGTGAAGAAAGTTCTATGTCATTATCACAATCTTGCCTTCAACAAATTGAAGAAGACTTTATACAATATAAATTTGAAGGTACTGACGTTCCTAGTAAAGTAGGAAAATGTGTTAAAGTTTACACTCATAAGAGACGAAAATCTGTAGACGAACTAAAAATCAAACTAACAGATATGAATAATGTAATTCAAAATTCGCCATCTACTGATTGTATAGATTTATTGGATGAGCCGTCCACTAATGATATACCAGTTACACTTTTAACCTCATTAGACATGGAAAGTGCTGAGTATATTATAAGTTTAAGTACTGAAAATATTCAATCTATAGTAGGAACTACTGTAACTGAACAGCATACAATAAACTCGTGTAAAAAAATAAAACAAATTATTGAATATAATACCCAAAAGGATAATATAAATAAAATAGAATTAAATACTGAAAACACTAAAACTTCTAATTATACAAAACCAATATTAAGAAGAAGTTTGCGATTAAATCAACAAGAAACAGAAGAAACTATGAATAATAATGAAGTTAAAGATCCTCATGAAAAAGAAAAACATTTTAAAAAATCAAATTTCTCGAATAGAACAGAAGTATGTATTAAAAAGAAACGTAAAATAAAGGACATGGATCGTAAAGTTGCAGAACGAGGTATTAATAATGAAATGCAACCCATTAAAAAGACATTTAATAATTCTCGCAAAAGTACTGAAAAATTAATTGTCAAAAAGAATAATAAATGTACGTTGTCTAATAAAGAAAAAGATGAACAAACAGTTAAAGCAACGAATAAATTAAAATGTGACATATCAGAAACAACAGAAATTGATTCCATTTTTACACTACCCAAATTAAATACAATAGAACATATAAATCGTGCACTGTGGGGTGATATGTCAGATTTTGCAGAAGACTATGAAAATAAGATAAATTTGCTGGAATATACCCCAAATACAGAAATTCCATTTGCTGTTGGTTTGTTACCTCTACGTACTGCTCTGGAAAAAATGCAAGCAACACCAGATTATCAACCTCGTAAAACTCGTTCGTCAGTAGCACCAATTAGGCAAGATATTAATTATCTCAAGAGAAAAAATTGTACTCCTTTAAGCAAAGTTGTGGATTCAAAAAAACAAAATACCTGCATTAATGATCCAAAAGAAAATGCAAAAGCAGTTTGCCATATTCAGATTAGAACAGCACCGTCACAGTACGTACGAAATCGTAAAAAATATCTTTCAACGGATGTAAATGCACTAGAACCACCAGCTATCATTAACAAACATTAATAAATTGATTATTTATTAAGGAATAGATAATAATAAAATAGGATAGTAATAAAATAATATTCTCAAATGTGAATATCAATAAGAGAACGCGCAGCTTTATGCATGTAATTTTATATTTTGAAGACATATTTTTAATATAAAACTTCTTGTATATAAAACATAGATATGAAAAAATAATATGCGATAAATTATGCAAAGTATGTAAACAATTGTAGTTCCTTGATTTCTACAAGAATTGAAGATATATTTTTTTTTATTGTTTGGCCATATATTTTTTAATTTAAACGCTACCATACGTGTATTAAATATTATAATAAGAGTGAATCGAGGTTTTTTTTCTTTATTGCAAAAAAAATATTAATAGTTATAAAAAAATAGTTATAAAGTAATATTTTTGTCTATTAGTTTATTAAATTTTTATAAAAATTTCTTGTATATTGTTTGAATTGAAAAATCATTGATTAATTTACATTCTATTTAATTAACGATAGGAATTGAAATAAATTTTTTTAATTTGTAAATGTGTAAATGAAAACGTGTGTTTATATATTTGGTGCACATATGGGGCTAAAGCGCGCGCGCGCACACGCGCCACACACAATGATATATTTTGTTCTTTAAGAATATATTTATACCCATTTTAAAGATATTGTATTTGAATATTTGAATGTCACAGTTTGTTATTTTAAAGTAAAAGTAATAATAATTTATCTCTTTATTTTTCTTTTTATCTTAGTATGTGAAAAATGCATACATATCATTTATTCTAATGTAAATGTCTTAATATTATAAATTTCAATGTATTATAGATATACATTAAGAAATCTTATATATCTTCATGATTTATTTTCAATTTTATTCATCATTATATTTTCTAATCCTCTATAACTAGAATTTTGTCTCTTTCTGAAAACAAAGCTTCACTGAAATCTAAAAATTAATAATTGTGAGTTAATCATTTAATGCCATTATCATAATATACCAACAAAATATCAAAACACAACAATAAGCAAATAAATAAGATTTAAAAAATATAGATAAACACATTACGTTATAGAGGATTAATATCTTTGTTTCATAAACGTATTTTATAATACCTTAGTTGTAATGAGTTAATGAAATCATAATAACCCAGTGTAATAATTTGTGCTATAAAAGCAGTAACTGTGAAACCTCAAAATTAGCTACATTATTTAGCTATATTGTTTATGACTGTCTATATTTTTGAAATAACAAGTTTGTGTAAACTTATTTATACATTTATACAACATTTACAATATTTGAAATGTTAGCAGTTGCTGCAATGTAACATAAATGGATTGTTTATTGCAATAATATACAAATATTTTTTACATAAATTTATGTATACATATACAATAATGAAAAAATATATATATTTTTTTCATAATAAACATTTTTAATGTACACTTGGAGTATTTTTGGAATTTCTATTAATATTAGATAAAATAGTTTTACAAAATTATAACAGTATTACATGGAGTTGCGTCATGTTCTTGCGCATTATACTCTTGCCATTTTTTATTACTTTATAGATTATATTCAATCATATATTGTTAGAATAATCTTAATAAGGAACTGTAATCTGTACAGAAACATATGACATATTCAACATGCTCTTGACACTGCGCAGAGGACAAAAACGGACTAAAGAAAGAGAACCATGTTTATTTATAACTAGTAATTTGATTGGTCGTGCAATATACATTATGATACATGTACAATCGATATGAGTAAAGTATAATTCTCGTTATTTTAGTTCTTTAATTTCCGATATATTGAAAGAAATCAATAAAATAAAAAGCAATAAATCACACTATTAAATTGAATGTGTTAAAATATATCGATCCTGTTATATGAATATCCAATTAAAAAAATTAAAACACTGACTGCTATGTTTTATTTAAATAATCTTGTTAATAACGATATTGCATTTCTAAAAAATGCAATAAAATTAATAGAAATTGTAGTTTGTGCGTAACTAATGTACAATCTATATTACACATAATCATTGATGAATTATGTGTCGTCATATAGGAAATGTTCTCATAGATATAGGTATACATAAATAGATCGGATATACAATACAATGAGAGTACTTTATAAAACGTATTTAATAAACTTATTTATTTAAAATTATTTACGAATTAACTTCATAATTATTAATTTACGAGTTAGTCAAATTTATAAGTATATGATACATATTATTTAAATCTATAACTATGCATGCATAAAATGAATAATGTACGAAATCTATGTAAATGCACAATCAAATACGTAAGAATATCGATTTTAATACTATTATTTAATAGTAAATAAATAATTATTTAATAGTAAATAGTAATAAAATTTTATTTGTAAGTAAGATAAATGACAATTCAAATTAACAGTAAGTGTGTTTTTAAATAAATGACCATCCGAATTATTTTAAAAAATTTTCAACAAAATGTTTCCTTTGATAAATATTAGCATCGCCAAAGTTGTAAGATGCATTAAACTTACATGTATTGTTTATACATAACGCACGATGATTGACAGCAGATAATTACCGAAATTATCGAACTCGCCTGTGTATCACGAAATTCTGTAACGGGAGGCTATATTGACAGAAAAAACATTACGTGGCATCGTATAACGCGTTTATTCCAGTTTTGTAATTCAATTGTACAATCGTCGATGAAAGATGCACGTTGGACTCGACCAAACAAGCAAGTACGTACATGCTCAATGTTTAGTTCTACGAGGAAGATAAATTCGACGAGGCCGACGCAGCGCAGCTACAGTGCAATCAATGAGCGCATATTGATCTTCACGGCTTCTACACCTGCAGGGGCGGATCACTTGAACATCATAGATATCGAAAGTTGACTGAAGGTATTACATCGAGACGTATGCAGTATAAACAAACTTACTTTTCCTATTGTGAAATTACATTTATTACTTCTAATCGCTATTTAATTGCTTGCGTTATACTTTAAAGTAAGTCAAGGTGTTTAAAGTAAATAATTGAGTTAATTTTTAAAAAAAAGGATATTTGTCACAATCGGAAATTATAATAAATATAAAAGAATAAAAATTTTATGCAATATATGAAATTTTAAATTTCTCTGATGATACAGGATTTGTACAAGTTATGTATCAACTTATATGTATGTTAGATCAAATCATTTAATAATATTATACACTGTGATTATAATTGGCGTTCTTGATGTGTTCTATATATGTGTGTATCAATATTTCCACGTACGTTGATTGTTATAAAAATATTAAATAGTAATAAATTAAATATTAAACGAGAGAAAACGTACGAGAGACGTACTTCAAATTGTTTCGTCTTATCGATTTGAATTTCGATATCAACTTCGATACCTCGCATACGCAATTGTTTAATGTTAATAGATAGTAGAACAAAGACTATCGGTTCGTTCGTATGTCAAATTGTCAGTTGCATGTAGAATTACGCGGATTTTCTTAAGTAACGTTACGTAAAATAAACTAAGCATAAGAAATCCCCGTGATCTAACACGAGCGCCGGAAGCTCAAAAATTAGTGCGGTAACGGATGCAAGCTACCAAATTCTTTCACCATTATTAAAAAAAGAAAAATACGAAACAATCTGCGTTATTTCATAAATCAACCATCTGGATTGATTAACAAAACAATAAACTTTTAAACGACAAAGTTGTTGAAAAGTCCTACTACAAACAGCAAGTCCATTAGCTCTAATTAGGTACATAAAGGAAATGAATTTAGGCGCGCTAAAGCAAAGTTCCGTAGAAGACCGTGAGATGTCAAGTCGATCGGGACCGCGAGCGAACAAAAGAACGGGATTGGTCGCTTCGAAAGTAGTGCCAGACATGTGTTTCGTTTCCCGCCTCGTGGGTTGTTATTGTGTGGGGGCCCCGCCAGTCCGGTGAGCCGAGTGTAGAGAGCATAGGGCCTAGGCCAGAATCGAACCGCCGTTGGGTTGGCTCTTCGGTACGGTGGTGGCTCTGTCCAACTGGTGACCGACCGTGGTCCGTCCGTCATATTCCCGGTTTGAAAGCAAGGTTGCGACTAGTTGTTGCGACGCAGGAAGGTGTAGTGATCCGTGTACGGAGTTACGAACAGATTTGCCGGCCATGGAGAAGCGGATAGAACTCGAGAAACGGGGAAGAAACTCCAGTGAAGTAAGCCAAACTCCACTTATTTTAATTGTACTGCTTTGTTCGACACGAGACCTACCGACACCGCGAGTTGTTGCATGCTTGGTTGATTCTATCGTGTAGCAGGTTTAAGAGCGAGTGCAGAGAGAATCGTGTTCCCTCGCGCGACACCGACACCACGCACTCGCTCTGCGGCACGCCACTGGCTTCTCGAAGACGCACGAGAACTCGGGATTTCTTGACGGCGACCGCGTGGCTCTGACGATTTATCGGGCAAGAAAGACGTGTTTTCGATGGCGACACGAGATGCTACTGATCACCAGAAGAATAATAGGCATGGCGTGGTCCGCTTAAACGGCTTGTCTCCTTCATTTTTCGATGTGACGCGTTTTCTTCTGTTGCTCTCTCTCTCTCTCT